GATGTGACGTCAGAAGTAATGTTAGCCATGCATTTTACTTGTGCCTCAGCCAAGTAGACACACTTTTATGAGAAATAACATTTGTGAGTGTCTGCTGTGGCCCCCAAGGCTGGCTGTATAGAGAATATTTCCCTTTTGTTTACTCAAAACTTTATTTTTTACCAATACAAAAGAAGGTTAACCTTATTTCTCCTTATGAACAATATTAAAACAAGTGACATGGTTATCAACGTTTTCGCAGAATAAAGTGATGCCAGTAGGGTATGCAACCAACATTGCTCTTACTAAAATAGCATAATAAGACAAGTATGAGCAAGTTGCTTCATGTGTATATCTAAAATGACATTATTAAAATGTTATTATTAAAATATTATTAAAAAAATAATTTTATCATCCCCGCAATAGCATTAACTACGCTTTTGCCTACAATGGTCACTGTTGGTTGCCTAACCTATTGCCATCACTCTTTTATACGGGAACTATGCGGAACGCTCAGTCCAGTTAATAATCATGTCACTGTATTAAAACATTCCAAACAATATCTTGGCTGTTTCTTGCACTGGGTGCAATACGTCACCTTTTTCACCTGACACTTAGGAATGATTCCATCCTGCTTCTTTTTGTAGCAACCACGACAGTATTTGTGGTTTTCCCTAAACTTGCAGTTTAGTTTACTAAACACGTGGCTACGCATATTAGTGTTTGAAATATTAGGGGCTTCAACCTCATCTTTATCTTGCCATTTCAACAGATCTTCTACAACCGAATACCAGAAATCCATAATGGAAAAGTCGCTGTTCTCGACTAGTTTGTACACAAAGTGAGCTTTTACGACAGACGTTCTCATCAGTACTTCTTATCGTTGCTACTTTTTTATATCAACGAATTGTTCTCCACAAAGCGATTTGGTCACTGAGATCGACTGAACTCTTTCCTGAATTGTAGTTAACAATGGTTTTGGGTTTTTTACCAGCACGACGTTGGGCTTCAACAGTTTCACCAGAATGATATGTCGATGAAATAAGAACTTCTCGCTTATCGAGCCATTTTAGGACGCAGATTCCTTTTTCATTTTCTAGAAGCTCAAGATGAAGCTAAAAAAAGGAGAAATGGTAGCATTTCTCCTTTCTTTAGCTACATCTTGACAACATTAGCTGGATTTCCTCTCCTTTTGCTGCGTAAAGTTCCAAGACAGTGTGTTTTACAATCTAACAGTATATGCGCGAGCTGGAGACTTGTATACCAATTGTCGGTCACACAAATCCGACAACATTGCAATAGATTTTTAGCCAAATTGAGAACAATTTTTGGTCGATTTTACAAGTTCCACGTGTAACCTTTTCCGCAGCAGAGTTTAGAAATTTTGATACCATATTTATGCGCTTTTTTAGGGTTGTATTGCTTGAATAGCGATCTTGCTTGGACAAGCCTTTATGGCAGCTTGCCACTCTGGTCTTATTGCACTTTGAAAATCATCTGCAAATTGCAACTGGTTTCCTGAAGAAATAAATTTCTAATTTCGTACTGACCAATATCTTCAAATTCAGATTTATTACTCGTTTCTACCTTCAGATCTTCTACGCGCCATGGGTATTATTAACAACGATATATCAAATATTTTACAATTCTCGAGAGATCACTCCCTACACATCAATAGCGCTAAAACTACAGCTACTGTCTTTGGCACGGATCATGCGCGCTCACTTTTAGGCCCAATAACCTTAGTTATAGATGGACAACATATTGAAGTACAAAATACGGTGAAAAGTTGGGATGTAATAATGGACGGTCAGCTGTTGTTTACAAAGCATATCAATCTCACCATACAGAGGGCCTTCGCGGTACTGAAGGTGATTTTTAATAACAGGTTTTCTCTAAATCAAAATACAAAAAAACTACTATGCGACCTACTAGTGCTGTCTAGATTTAACTATTGCGACACTGTTTATGGCGCTTTTTTGTCAGCGGTGGATGTGGGTAGAATACAGAAAATGCAAAAATCGTGTCTGAGATTGATATATGGTATTCGTAGCCGTCAACCTATATCGTACAAATTAAAAGAAGTGAAGTGGTTAAACATGGAGAATCGACGTTTATTGCATTGTTTATGTATGTATCACAAAATTATCACCAATAAGTCACCACCATATCTGTACGAAAAATTAACTTATCGTACAGATGTGCATAATCTCAATCTCAGACATAGAGGCTTGCTTGAAATACCTGCACACCGGATAGAGTTTTTTAAACGATGCTTCTCATATCAGATAGTCTTGAAATACAATTCGCTACCAAATGAGTTTAAAAAATGCGCGTCGAAACAATTTAAAATCAAGTACACACGATACCTCTATGCTCTCTCTGGCTTTCGTGTCTGACGCCTGTCGCAGTTTCAAGCTCTGTGGCTGTTTCAGTGAATTATTCAATGTAACAGTGAACTGTTGTTTCTCTGTTTTTTCTGCTTCGTTCGATGATGGGTCTGCATTTCATATAATATTAAGTTTTTGTTTTATCTTTTTTTTCTCTTTTTTAAGGTTAGGGAAAATTTAATTTATCGTTGTTCTTTTGTTGTTTGTGGTTTATTTTTTGAGTTCCTTTGATCAATTGTGGTTCTTTTTTTTGTGTTTAATGTAATGTATTATGTTTGAAAAGCATCTTGTCGCAATTTTGCGTCAGACGAAACATCGCCAATTTTCATTTCTATGTATATCGTTTTGGTTTTTTACTGTTTGTTTGTATATATATATATATACACTTGTTTTGGAAATTGAAATAAAGTTTATTATTATTATTCAGTTAGTTCCAGTTCTAGGTCTAGTTTTAGTTCTACTTTTCTTTCAATAAAAACACACCTAGAACTAGAAAGTATCGCGTTTAGCCGTGCGTCTTCAGACGAAGTTTACAACCCACCCTCTGCTTTATACCCAACCCAACATTTGAGAAATTCGCCTTGGTTTAAATGTTAATTAACCTAACTCAAAGTAGAATTTCTACACAAAATTCTGAAATAAATCAATAAATTAGGTGAATCCGAATGTAACATTTAAAGAGATATCCCCTCTAAAAAGATACGTCGCATCTGGGTGACAAAGAGTCGAGTGTTGTAGCAGCAATTTTTAAATCTGTAATGGAAGGAACACAGAAAGGTATCACTCAATAAAAGAATAGTATCAGTAAATAGTCTTCAGTCAGTAGTATTGTAATCTCCAAGCACTTAGTAGTGTTTTGGGGTTATACAGGGGTGTTTCAGGTTTTCGTAGCAGGATTTTGATAGATCTTTTAAAATTAGCACAAAAACTTCATATAAACATACAGGGTGTACAAAAAAGTATGGAATAATGGTTCTACAGCCTAAACTTCAACTTATATTAAAAAAAGTTTTAAATAAAAGTTACTTGAAACTATTTTCCGCATATCTTGGCGTAGAAATAAAGTAAAAATGATGACGGCAGTCTGAGTTACGACATGGTGAGTGTGTTTTTTAAATGGAACACCCTGTATATTGTAAGGTTTTTGGATTCTTTTGACAAGTTGTTGCAAAATGCCATAAGGTTTTAATGCTTTAAACTACATAGTTTTCGAGATATTGAAACTTTTATTTAAAAAGATTTGACATAGCGACAACTAAATTATTGAAAAGATAACCTAAGCCTTGACGTCACAGGGATGGGCGGAGCATATACCGACTCCAAATATCTTCGTTGCTAACGAAAAATTCCCATATGCAATTTTTCAATAGTCAAGGCTTAGGTTGTCTATAGACTGCCTAAGTCTGACGTCACAGAAGTGGGCGGAGCTTATACTGACTCCAAACAATTTCGTTGCTAACGATAAATCGCCAAAAAATGTCATTTGAAATGTCATCACTTAGTTTATTTTATTTTAACACTAATGAAACATTGCATATGGTAATTTACCGTTAGCAACGAAAATGTTTGGAGTCGGTATAAGCTCCGCCCATCCCTGTGACGTCAAGGCTTAGGTTGTCTATTCCATAATGACAACCTAACCCGTCATCATTTTTATTTTATTTCTACGCCAAAATATGCGGAAAATAGTTTCAAGTAACTTTTATTTAAAACTTTTTTTAATATAAGTTGAAGTTTAGAACCATTATTCCATACTTTTTGTACACCCTGTATATTCAAGTTTTTTTAAAAGACTTGCTACTTTCTATTCATGTTCAATGAGGTTTACTATCCTTACTCTATTTAAATGAGCACCATTTGAAAGATATTATCTTCAAAACATAGTGTGGAACATATTTCCAAACTATAATCTTAATTTTAATAAATGCCAACGTTAAATAAAATCAGAAAGAAAAAAGTTATTCATTAAATAATTCATAACGTTACTTATGCGCCATCTATTATAAATTATTTTTACTTTTAGCCTCATTGTGACATCACTATCTGTATCATTATAAATTATGATGTTTTGTTTCATATTAAAGCTTTCTCTAACTCCCAAGTGATAAAATAGGGTGTTCTGTTGCATGGTAATTGATAAATCGATAATCGTGATGTCTGCATTATAAAAACTGCTTATGACATTGGTTTCTCCAAAATCTAACCTCTCAAACTGAAATCAAAACAAGATGTCAAACAAACATTTTAACCCATAATATAAACTTACTTGAATATGATTTAAGTTAGCCCCAACTTGACTGCAAGCTTGTCTAACATCCTCCAAAGCTCTCCTTCTTTCCACAGCATGATCATTTTGAGAAACATCAATGACAATAACCACATCCATGAGTGGTTTCGTCATGATATTAAGACATCCAGAGCTGCTTTGGGCGTTTAATGTGTGTCCTGATAAATCTGAGTGCGAACCAAAACTGTCTGTGTTGCTTTTACCATCAACTTAAAATAAACAAACAAAGTTTTTATGTTTAAGGTTAGAAATGAGTCATTTTTGTTTGATTTTTTTGAAGGTTAAGTTTGCATTACTTACTGGAGTCTGGTTCTATTACCAAAGTTGGCGGTGACATTGTTTTTGATTTTTGATGTTACACAACTGAATTAAAATTAAAGTGAGGTTAGGTGATGGTTATCAAGGGGGCTGTTGGTTTTGGTCGGATTAAAACTGAGCCCCCAAATGACGATTTCGACATCGGAATAGATTGGAAAATCACAGTAACACGATTTCGATTTAATCAAAAATAACTTAAAACCGCTCGAAATAACTCCAAAAATTAACTAAAACCTAGAAAAATGTATTTCTAAAAAGAGAATGGACTTAATCAAGGACTTCAATGTATGTTGTCGAACGTAGAATAGCCAACTATGACCTTGAATATTAATGATACCAAGGTACTTAATTGAGTGGGATGGAAAAATTGATATATTACATTTTTATATTTAAATTAATTATATTTATAGTTTTAATAGAAAAATATTTTATTTTGTAATCAAAATAAGGATTGCCGTTTTTCTGTCTAAAGTAATGTATAATTTCAGAAAGGTCATTGATACCATGTATAAAATTATTTTTTTGATTCATAGATGGCACATCTATCATCGATATTTTCAATTGTAAATACTCCGTAATACCAGAAGATGGCACTATAAAATTTGAAATAATTATAATTTTTATTTTTTTAATCAATTTCTATCTCTTAACATTTTAGTTTATTCCAGTAACTTATACAACTCATTTTGTTAAAAATAATAATTAGTAACATATTAAAAATCGATTTATATATTAAATAAATTTTTTTGGTCAAAAAAGTAATTAACCTATATTCCACGCCTATTAAAATCCAATAATATTAACAATAATAATCAAGAATCGACAAAAAGTAAACCGTCCGGTACCAAATTGCTTCATAAATTTATCAAAATAGGAGAAAGTTCAAGTCGAGGACACAGTTTTGAGACAATCTAGTTCAAACAGGCACTTTCTACTCTTCATAATAATCATAAAGAAGATGAAAATCCGATTAATTATTTATCTCTAGGTTGTAAGCATTAACTGAACGATGAAGTGAAACAGCTTTTAGTATAGTTATCAATTTAACTGACCCAGTGGTTGCTCAGTTCGTGATTATCTAGATTATGGAGTTAAATCGTTTGCGATTTCTGTCTATAAATTTATACAGTGAAAATAAATGATTGATTTTCAATTATTAACGATGCTATTTCGTTTAGATCCCTTCTGAAGTATGTTGTATGATGAAATTTTGTAATCTCTCTCTGTGCTGTTGTAAAGGTTCTATACAAAAAATTTCTTTTAGGATGGTGATATATAAAAGTATATTACAGAAAAGTGCAGCAAGGAAAGTCACTATTGATGCCTATTTTGGTTTCAAGCAGCCATTTTTTGATTTTTAAATTTTTTATTGTTGTTCTAGATTGTTCTAAAGTTGTTCTACATTGTTCCAAAGCGGCAAATCGAAAAAATAAAAACTCCGCGAGAAAACCGAAAAAACGGGTTTTTTGGCTGTTTCTATTGTCAATTCCATATTACAAATATATACTTATTATAGCTAACGCAATCTGGAACATCTATTATTTTTACTAGAACAACTCTCTAAAGGGCACTTTACTCTTTGAAAANTAAACCGTTAACTTCCACACTATAATAATTCACACGCACAATATTTGAGCAAACAACCATTGAAATTTGTGTTTACTCTTACATTTGCACCATGATGAAAATTTATTCAACACACACAAACAAAAATTTAATGGTAATGAAAACTTTAAGTACTTTACTTTCTCGTAGGTATGAAATGAAGTCTTTTGGTTGTGTATAACCATTAATAAAATATTAGGTTAGAAAAAGTGGTACGTTCTAGCGGTGCAACTTAGGTTGTATCGTATCCTCGTACGTGCAATTCAATCCACGTGAATCGATTAGCCCTATTTGCAAGAAATGTGCTTACAAGACCAAGTGATCGGAATTCAATATAAACTCGAAGCGGGTAACAAATTGTGGTTCACAAAAACTAACTCACTCTACCATCACTTTATAGCCATAAACAGTTTTCTATTTTATAATGACATAGATTGAGGAATATAAACTATGAAAAACAACCTCAAAAACTTGCATCAATTAAAATAATGATTAATTCTCTGCTTAAGCAACGTAAAAAAGTCAAGCTCCTATAATTTTTATTTAACTAGGCTATAATCGTTTTGGCATATCCAACCTTTTCCTATAAATCGGTGTAATTATCTAAAGTGGATGAATATTATGCAAAATGATTTACAGACGAGCTAAGAAGCGCTAAGAATTTTATTTGTCAACAACGAGGTTTCTTATTCGAGTAAAACATTCCAAGCTACTCGACGTGCTTTAGAACTTTATCTTAGGTTCGTTTCAAAGTGTCGAAGAATTCTGAAACGTGCAATTTCGCTATTAGTTCCGCGAGTTCCAAGAAATTCTAGATAATCATTTAAAACTAAAATGCTTTAAGGAAAACACGTTATACCTTAAGCAAAACTTTAAACTTATTTTTCAATAGATCTTACGATATATTGAATGGTTTAAAAGTAGGCTAAAAAATTAAATTTTACATATTTGAAATCTTTTGATATCTAAATGTAGATTGATATTGAATGTAATTGAAGAAAGTTATTTACTTTGTTGCTATAATTCATTATCTATTACTTTGATCATACATCTCTGACATCCTGCCGCGCATCCTGCTCTGACACTCGGCTATGAAATTGTACGTCAAACTTGACAAATAGGTTATAAAACCTTGTCGTCAAATAACTTTATAACCTATTTGTCAAGTTTGACGTACAATTTCATAGCCGACTACTGAATTTTCGCTTATTTTAAGCAACATTACGAAATACGTGGGTTTAGTTATTTAAGTTTTCTATGAAAACGTCGAAGTTTTTTAAAAAATAATAAGAATAAGAAAAGTTTTAGAATTAAATTCCACATGAAATGAAGTAGTAATGTATTAAATCCGCCAAAAGATTAAAAAAATCTGTAAAATTTAGGGTACCATCATCTTTAATCAACCCTTTGAAATGCTACCCTTGGTACACCCATAACGTATACCAAATTTGGTTTTTCTAGCTTAATGTATTACGAAGATATTGAACTTTTTAAAAATTTAAGAGCCAACTTTGAAGGCCTATAACTCCTCAGGTGTACAACTTAGTATAGAGGTAAGTTACGTTAAATCATCTTAATTTATTGTCCTCTACATGTCCCTGCTCTGTGTCGGTTCTTATGTGAATCACCCTGTATATTTTTACTATAAAATAAATATGTTAAAAATTTTTTTCTTTTATTTTTAATAATAATAATAACTTTATTTACAAATAACCAAAAATTAACCATAACACAAAATTTTTAAATAAGTAAAAGTTAATTGAAATTAAGCAAGATCAGAGAGAAAAGAAACAAATATTATTATTTAAAATATGTAGCAAAAAAAATCTGTCACTGGCATACCACTAAACTGCATAGCAGTTTGTGCGTGGTTTTCAAGTAACTAAATTTAATGGGAATAAATGAAAGAAACTAAAACAGATTCGTACCTCTCCAATACAGAAACGGTCCCAAACAATTCATTCTAAATTTTATTTTTAATATTTATAAAAAGCAAAAATGCCATTATCACTTAAAATGCAGTTGATTGAAATTTTTAACATTTAAGTTTTTAAAAGCATAAATTTTATGTTAGTAATTTTTGCCAGCTATGATTAAAATTATGACAAGTGACTTATTTGTCAAATATAAAAAAAAATTAAAAAAAGCATGTTGGCATACTTTTATTAGAAAAATAGTAAAAAAACGGTTTTAACCGTTATTTCATTTCGGTTCACGAAAACGATATTTTTTGGGTGTGAACGAAAAGAACGAAAACGAAATTTTTTGTTTTCGTTCTGATCGGAAACGAACAAAATACTTTTCGTTTTTAGTCCCTGTGTAGAACCATTATTCCATACTTTTTGTACACCCTGTAGGTCGACAAACGATTTGTTTTGAAGATACAGGGTGTTTAAGTTAAATTTTTAAATTGATTTTTTTTAATATTACACGTGTATTTCAACCGATTCTATTCAAATTTGATATACGGAGGTTTTGTGGCATGAGAAAGACGATTATGGAGTCCGTTTTACTATAGCCGGTAGAGGGCGTCCCGTAACGTATTCTTTACGGATTAAAATAACAATAACTTTTCTGACAGAATACTTTTTGGGGTTTTGAATAAAAACTTTTATTCTCTGCACTTTTTAAGCAAAAAGAGTACTCTTATCAAAATGTGCTAGAATTGATCGTTTTCAAGATAATGCGCTTTTTATTATTCGATATAGACCAATTTTTTTAGTATCTACCTTTTTTGGAGAGCATATCTCTACTTTCTAAGTAGTTATTAGTCTTTTCCAGTAGTATTTAGCATTATGGCTGCATTAGGTAGCTTTTTGGAAAGCATATCTCTTCTTTCCAAGCACTTGTTAGTCTTTTCCAGCAGTATCTAACATTCTGGAAGCGGTAGGTAGCTTTTTGGAAAGCATATCTCTTTACCAAACAGTTATTAAAGTCTTTGAAAGCAATAAGTAGTCTTAGAAGCAGTATTCCGCCTATCCAAGCAGGTCGAAACCTTTAACAGCAGTGTTTATTTTGCGTTCTGGAAGCAATAGGTATTATTTTGAAAACAGTATCTAGTCTTTTAGGCGTGTTAGAAGCAGTAGGTAACTTTTTGAAATAGTATTTCCTCTTTCCAAGCAGTTTTTAGTCTTTTACTAGCAGTATTTAATTTTCTGATAGTAATAATTAGTCTTTTGCCAACAGTATCTAGCACTCAAAAACCAATAACTTAAAGAGGAAGCGTTTTAATCAAATGTGCTGCGAAAGTATTTGGTTAGTAGTGACGTCGTGTCGAAACGTTAAAGTGATTTTTCAGTAAATTTTACACTTTGCCCATCGATTAAAAAAAAATTGTCGATTTTTAAGCGACATGATGATTCCTTAAATTAATTAAAATAATATCTGAACAAAAAAATAAATTTACCTTTAGATGCGGGGAATTACTTCGGAAGCAATGGTCATGTGCGCATGTTCTTCAGATGCTGTTGAAGTCTTAATGCCTCCTGAGAACTCCCAAATTGGTGATTTAGTGTATTGCGAGGGTTATGAAAGGAATCCAGACGCTGTTATGAATCCGAAAAAGAAAATCTTTGAAGCTGTAGCTCCCGATTTACGCACTAACGATAAATTGGAGGCTTGTTATAAAGGAGTTGTTTTTAATGTTCCAGGAAAAGGAAATATTGTTGCTAAAACTTTAAAAAACGTCCCAGTTAAATAAAAAAAATTTATTTCATCCTACTCACTAAGAGTTATAACCTTATTTAACATCTCCAAAGGTACATTTAATAACTTTAAATTTTGCATCATCTCGAATTTATTTTGAGACGCGCTAAAGTTATTAAAATGGAAAGGAATATCAAAAAACGTTACATAACTAACAAGATCGTATAAAACATCGTTTTTGCAATCGTCGATTTTCCCATTCAAGTACGATTTTATACTTTGTTTTAATTTAATTTCTTGCCTTTCTAAATAATCGAGGATATTACTTCGCATTGATGACATATTTTCGATTGAAATCAACGTTGTGCATAAATTCCTTTTTAAAATTGCCCGCGATATTATTTTAAATTGCCATAATTGGATGTAGTCGATCGAGGAAATATTTTCGATAACCTAAATTCAAAATTTTTTGAGATTAAATTAAAAAGTGATTTAAAAACGTACCTTTAATAAATTCAAAAAAATCGGAAGAACATTTAATTTATCTCCAATAACCGATTCGTAACTTCCCCTTAAAATTTGTTGTTTCAAAACGTGTTCTTTTTCGCTTAAATCTTTGCGTTCGCTTAAAAAGTAATTACAAAAACTCCAAACGGTACAATCAGGTGAAAATGTTAAAATTGATTCTTTCGATGGTAACCATGGACTTTTTTCTGTTAATTCTAATCGATTATTTTCGTTATCTTCTTCGGAAAAACCACCGCAACCGGCTCTTTGCATGATACAAACTCCTTTGTAAGTACTCAAAATTGATTCTAATTTATCCCAGTTTCTTCCCCTTTCAAAAACGACGGGTAAATAACGTTCGTCGTCTACGCAAACTTTAAACAATGAATTTAATTCCGGAAGTAACGCCGGTGCTTTTAACTGGATCGTTTCGCCGTTTAATTTGATTAAACTTAAATTTGCGTAACACATTTTTCCTTTCATAACATCCTTAGTTACTAATAATCTTGGTTCAATCGCCAAAACATATAAATGTCTAAACGCTTGAAGATGGTAACGATTATCGTTGGAATGCATTGGAAATTTTGGATAAAACGCAATAATTAAAGCGGCAACACTCGCCGGGTTATTACAAAGCGTGTATCTTCCACCTCCTAGAAATAATAAACCTAACGCCATATGAGTGGCTAAGTGAGAGCCGTATGTGACGACAGCGGAAGCCGCCGTTCCAACGCGACGTCTTAAATGTCGAATGATTCTCATTATTTCTATATTTCCAGTTCCGGCCATTACCATTGATGTTGAAAGTAATACGAGATTTAAGCAACACTCTATACACGGTTTTCCGGCTAATTCGGCTAAAGATTTTCCTAAGAGGCTCGTGAATAAATGGCAATAATGGAGGAGAACTTGAAAAACTTGTTCGTTTGCCGATCCCGCGTGTTTTAATCCTAACGCGAAACACGCACCGGAAACTATATTACAATAAGCTTGACTAAAAAAAAAGGAAAAAATATTATTTTAATATAAATCATAGGCAACTTTAGGTAATAAATGTCAGCTTTAATTTTGTTATATTCTTAATCTTTACGAAAAATCCTTTAAAATAAGTCCAAACTCGACTATTTTATCTCAAAAAATAACAAAGATACAACAAAAAGTTGATAAAATTAAACTTAACAAAGTGAAGTTGGCTACAAACCATTAAAAGTGTTAATATCTCGGTTATTTTTTGAGATAACCCCATCGTGTTTGAACTCATTTTAAAGGATTTTTCATAAAGATTATGAATCTCACAAAATTAAGATTGACATTTAAAACCGGAAGTGTCCCGTATTTCGATTATTTTTCAAGTTAAATGTATACTTTTTGTAATATTCAACAAACATTAATTTAAAATGATTATAAACAAACCATATTTAATTAAAAAAATGCTTAATGGACGACTTCCGGTAATAAATGTCAACTTTAATTTTGTTATATTCTTAATCTTTACGAAAAATCCTTTAAAATGAGTCCAAACTCGACTATTTTATCTAAAAAAATAACTAAGATACAACAAAAAGTTGATAAAATTAAACTTAAAAAAGTGAAGTTGGCTACAAACTGTTAAAAGTGTTAATATCTTGGTTATTTTTTGAGATAACCCCATCGTGTTTGAACTCATTTTAAAGGATTTTTCATAAAGATTATGAATATCACAAAATTAAGATTGACATTTAAAACCGGAAATGTCCCGTATTTCGATTATTTTTAAAGTTAATGTATACTTTTTGTAATATTCAACAAGCGTTCATTAAAATGATTACAAGCAAACCATATTTAACTAAAAAAATGCTTAATGGGCGACTTCCGGTAATAAATGTCAACTTTAATTTTGTTATATTCTTAATCTTTATGAAAAATCCGTTAAAATAAGTCCAAACTCGACTATTTTATGTCAAAAAATAGCAAAGATGCAACAAAAAGTTGATAAAATTAAACTTAACAAAGTGAAGTTGGCTACAAACCATTAAAAGTGTTAATATCTCGGTTATTTTTTGAGATAACCCCATCGTGTTTGAACTCATTTTAAAAGATTTTTCATACAGATTATGAATATCATAAAATTAAAATTGACATTTAAAACCGGAAGTATCCCGTATTTCGATTATTTTTAAAGTTAAATGTATACTTTTTGTAATATTCAACAAACAGTAAATTAAAATGATTACAAACAAACCATATTTAACTAAAAAATGCTTAATGGGCGACTTCCGGTAATAAATGTCAACTTTAATTTTGTTATATTCTTAATCTTTACGAAAAATCCTTTAAAATAAGTCCAAACTCGACTATTTTATCTCAAAAAATAACAAAGATACAACAAAAAGTTGATAAAATTAAACTTAACAAAGTGAAGTTGGCTACAAACCATTAAAAGTGTTAATATCTCGGTTATTTTTTGAGATAACCCCATCGTGTTTGAACTCATTTTAAAGGATTTTTCATAAAGATTATGAATATCACAAAATTAAGATTGACATTTAAAACCGGAAGTGTCCCGTATTTCGATTATTTTTAAAGTTAAATGTATACTTTTTGTAATATTCAACAAACATTAATTTAAAATGATTACAAACAAACCATATTTAACTAAAAAAAATGCTTAATGAGCGACTTCCGGTAATAAAGGTCAACTTTATTTTGTTATATTCTTAATATTTACGAAAAATCCTTTAAAATAAGTCCAAACTCGACTATTTTATCTCAAAAAATAACAAAGATACAACAAAAACTTGATAAAATTAAACTTAACAAAGTGAAGTTGGCTACAAATCATTAAAAGTGTTAATATCTCGGTTATTTTTTGAGATAACCCCATCGTGTTTGAACTCATTTTAAAGGATTTTTCATAAATATTATGAATATCACAAAATTAAGATTGACATTTAAAACCGGAAATGTCCCGTATTTGATTATTTTTAAAGTTAAATGTATACTTGTTGTAATATTCAACAAACATTAAATTAAAATGATTACAAACAAACCAATTTAACTAAAAAAATGCTTAATGAGCGACTTCCGGTAATAAATATCAACTTTATTTTGTTATATTCTTAATATTTACGAAAAATCCTTTAAAATGAGTCCAAACTCGACTATTTTATCTCAAAAAATAACAAAGATACAACAAAAAGTTGATAAAATTAAACTTAACAAAGTGAAGTTGGCTACAAATCATTAAAAGTGTTAATATCTCGGTTATTTTTTGAGATAACCCCATCGTGTTTGAACTCATTTTAAAGGATTTTTCATAAATATTATGAATCACAAAAGTAAGATTGACATTTAAAACCGGAAATGTCCCGTATTTGATTATTTTTAAAGTTAAATGTATACTTTTTGTAATATTCAACAAACATTAAATTAAAATGATTACAAACAAACATATTTAACTAAAAAAATGATTAATGGGCGACTTCCGGTAATGAATGTCAACTTTAATTTTGTTATATTATTAATCTTTACGAAAAATCCTTTAAAATAAGTCCAAACTCAACTATTTTATCTCAAAACATAACAAAGATACAACAAAAAGTTGATAAAATTAAACTTAACAAAGTGAAGTTGGCTACAAACCATTAAAAGTGTTAATATCTCGGTTATTTTTGAGATAACCTCATCGTGTTTGAACTCATTTTAAAGGATTTTTCATAAAGATTATGCATATCATAAAACTAAGATTGACATTTAAAACCGGAAGTGTCCCGTATTTCGATTATTTTTAAAGTTAAATTTATACTTTTTGTAATATTCAACAAGCGTTCATTAAAATGATTACAAATAAACCATATTTAACTAAAAAAAAATGCTTAATGGGCGACTTCCGGTAATAAATGTCAACTTTAATTTTGTTATATTCTTAATCTTTACGAAAAATCCTTTAAAATAAGTCCAAACTCGACTATTTTATCTCAAAAAATAACAAAGATACAACAAAAAGTTGATAAAATTAAACTTAACAAAGTGAAGTTGGCTACAAACCATTAAAAGTGTTAATATCTCGGTTATTTTTTGAGATAACCCCATCGTGTTTGAACTCATTTTAAAGGATTTTTCATAAAGATTATGAATATCACAAAATTAAGATTGACATTTAAAAAGTATAGTACTCCTTAAAAATTAACTTACTTCACAGCTTCATAATCAATGTCATTATTCCAAGGTTCAACCATACAAAACGGCTTAATATTCGCAGGAATGTGCCCCTCGATCCAATCTATAGAAGCTTCGATATCATTCCAAAGGATTAAAGACTTAGCTAAAGTTCTTAGTATTAAAAAGTCGGGTCGAACGGCGTCTAATAAAAATTGTGTATCTGGAATTGACATCCAATCGGCAACGACTTTATTCCCCGTTCCAAAATACATCATTCCCAAAGCTAATGTAGACCCAGAAGCTGTTACATCTAAATTAACGGTGGCGCCTTCTTTGATTTGAAACGACGGTATTTTATATTTTTCTCTTTGTGGTCCCGTTCTAGGTCTTTTATTTCCGCCGATGATGTAGTAATGAAGTGTATCGGCGATATTTAAATCTCCAAGCCCGCAAGGTTTATCTCCTTGCCCTAAAATAACTAAACCCAATCCTAATCCGGCTGCTAAAGCATAAGATTCTCTATCAACGCTGTTATCCATTTCCGGCCCAGGTGGACGTCCAATTTCGTTTAATAAAACTTCCGTCATATGCCTATGAGCTGTCCCTTGATATAACAACCCAATCCCTAATAAAGTCGCGATTTGAGAATTGTGAGAAACTTCCATTTCCATCGATGTGGGCGGTAATAAAGCCTCGGAATGGATACTTAACATTCTCGCAATATTAACATCGCACGTCCCACGAAAAGCAGCCGCTAAACCCAATAAAACCCCCACCGTAATCGTTTCTTGCGCTTTCGATAAATAATCAAAAATACTTTTAGTTTCCAAGTTTTTTAAGTGACCATTCAAACCCATCGCTAACAAAAATCCACCGTGTTCTATTTCACTACTTCCGGTTGGTTTATTAAAAACAATCCAAGTCGAATCAATTTTAGCTTCAGGGCAAATTCTAAGTCCGTTTGCGACGCCGTTATGGAAAAGAGGCCAATGATTCATCGAGGGCGGTGTGTCAATGTGACTTAATTCGACGGTTGTACCACGTGGTGGTGCTTTTCCGGTTAAACACAGAGGGGGAACTGTTAAAGGTTCTGTTATTACCGGTGAAGCCATTCGTAATGTAAAAATTCCTCTAAAATAAAATAAAATAATGATATAGTGAGTTTTAATTAAAATCAATATACAAAAATATATTTTCA